GTGAGCATGCTCTGTTAAAAGACCTTTACAGTTTGAATCAAATAGCATGATTTGAAATTAAAACTAAATCCTGATGGAGAGCATCGGGCTTGGTGCGTGGGCAGAGATTTGTATGCCATGTTCACAAAGATACCATCCTTCTCTTGTTGCTGCTGAAGAAGAGCTGGAGCTGCAATTCTGCAAGATTTGTTTTATTCTTTGATTTGTGGTAGATGGAAATGAGATGAAACTCATTCCTTCAGTAATTATCTTAGCTACAGACTCAGGTAAGAGCAATTTCTGCTGCAGAAATGCACAGTTGGATGCGCCATGGATGCCTTCAGCCTTCATACCAGAGCAGAGCTCTTAAGCTCAGGTGAAATGGACTCAACACCAATGGAATGAGAACTCCAGCAGCAGCAGTGGCTTGCTGTGAACTTGCCCCATGGTGTCACCGGGGTCCTTGCAGCAGACAGGGAGGAAGGCAGGAGGTATGCCAAGCCTGGTGGTTTAGGCCAACACACGATCTGGCTCAGCAGAGGGATCTCTAGCCCCATGCACCCTAATCTGTTAGAGAGACACTCCAGAAATTGCCCTTTCCCACCTGCAGTGTGACCAAGGGACACAGCAGGAAAAAAATATTCCAGCTTTTTCAAGGGCTGTAGTGTTGCACACTCAGGGCATCTTGAGTGGCTTAAATACCCAGCTCCCTGGGGAGAGTTTATTAGATTATGGCAGAAACACCATTTTCATCCTGTTATAGATGCATAGGCCAAACCAGAAAATAACTTTTATGAATTTATTGAAATGAGAACAAACAGAACAAAAAAAGGTTCGGTATGCCGGGGAGCAGGGGGGGGTTTCCGCTCCGCTCCAACGGACCAAGGACGCCACATGGATGGATGCGTGTCGACCAAGTGTAAACAAACCCACCACTCTTTATAGTCTTTCTAATACATATTCATAAGATGGGTGTGTTTTAGTCCGCACAAGAGCAGTGGAGTTTCTTGAATCTTCTCAGCTTTTCTGGCATTGTTGGGCAGGGGGGTTTGTTGTTTTTCCACTCCTTTTCTCTCTAAAACGAGAGTCCTTCTGACTGGGGGTTTTCCAGTACTTTTCCACATTCACAATAACTGTCCATATGAGTCTGTATTTACTTGATAAAAAAACCCGCTCCAAACCATTTTAACAATAAAACTACAATAAATCTCTTTTAACTTATGTACATAGCAAAACATCGGCATCTCATATTGAAGTCATCATATTTTTAACATGAATCATCACCATATTCTTCACCATCCCCAAATCAAGCTGATTCTAGATCTCTTTGAGGATTTGAGGGACAGCTTGGAAACACCATCTAGATTGACCCCAGATTTGCATGAGGTGAAAAAAATGTGTAATGGTTTAGAGACTGCTTTAATCTACTGTTTCAATCGTCTGTTTTTTCACCCTGTCTCGTGGATTTGGGACTCCCGGCTTCTGGATCTGCAGTGAATCAGCAGTGGCAGTTTCAGAGTTCCTTTTGTTTTCTGTTTACACAAGCACTACCATGTCTTGTGCTGAAAGAGCCCCTGAGCCACAAGAGACAGAGACTTTAAATGCAAATTTCAGCACGTACTTGCACTGTCAGGACTTTGGGTCTCATCATACTTCATCACACTATGTCCAGCTGGGGAAACCAAGAGACAGATGTCTCGGCTGCTGAGCTCAGCACCGCAGCCCACATCACTCCATGAGCCTGCCAGGAGCTCCTGCTCTGCCTCATTCACACCATGTACTGTAATGCAAGAAGATCAGCTGCGCCCTGTACCTCTGAAAAAGGCTTGCAAAACTGAACACTGAATGCAGCAGAAGTGCAGGACTAGGTGAGATCACCAGGAACATGGGCTGCAATCCACAGCTTCCGTGGTCAGCCCCATGGTAGCTCCTTGCTGCTTGCATCATCACAGACTGTACTATCCAGCAAATCTCTGCCTGGGAAAGCAGAGACTGTGTCAGAGGATCCAGCAAGAGCAGGGTGTCATCAGTGCACATCCTAAATTACTGTAGAAAGCAGTACGTACTCTAACACAGGCTAAATCAGCAGTTGCCTGATCCTCTCCTTTTCCATTAATTGAACGCTGCCACATGGCCACATCCATGCAGGACTCTTCAGCAAAACTTTGCAGCAGGCAAAAGGCAGTGCAATGGAGATCAGGCATGCTCTAAGGATAGCCTATATTATTTTCACAGACTTGCCATTTCTCAAACAGATGTGATCTCAAACACCATTAGGAGGAAATCCTTTTCTCCAGGATTGCAGTCTCATCCCAGGGACAAATTTGCCTCAGCAATTCTTGCTGATTGGAGATTCATCCAGAGAGCTGACTTGCCGTTTGTTCTTCCCACTCTTTTTCCCAACAGCCGTGTACAGCAGAAAAAGCAGCAGTGCACATGTTTACCCAACACAGGAGCACTTGCTCGAACCCTAGAAAGATCACTTGGAAAATCGCGTAAGAGCAGCACCTGCTGGCAGTGGCAGTTTAAGCCCCAAGGCTGCATTATTCAAGGAAGTCCTATTAGTGTTGGGTCTCAGCATCAGGAACAGCTTTTTTAATTGGCACCCAAGTTTCTTTTCTTTTTGTGAGAGAGAATTATTTTGTGAGGCATTGAGGGATGCCACACAGGGCAAGCCAGAGCACACCCATAGAAAGTTTACATATTGATACTTCTGCTGCCCTCAGAATTGATGAAGGCAGCTTTTTTAATTAACTTTCCTCAGAAAGGCTTTTTTTTCATACATGGGGGCAGGGTGCATTGTACATTTTAATGGGAGTTGTCAGTAAAATTATTGATTTTGGTAGTAATGTTTTTGAAATTGTACCATTGTGTTAATTCTGTCGGGTCCTCTTTTGATAGCTTAGCTGACAGCATTTTTGCATACTTCATTAGTTTTTTAATACACAATAATTTCCTCTAACTCATCAATGCCAAGCAAGATCAGCTGCATGCTTGTTAACTTGTTTTCCTGTGTACAAACCTGTTGCAGCAATAATTATAAACAGAACAAATTATTACAGATTTTCATTATAAAATACAATTACACTGAGGCGTGCTGCATTGTTACACTTTTCACAGCCATCATTTGCTCTTGAGTAAATGGTTTCATTATAATCATGAAGGGCAAACTTAATACACCTCTGACTCATACCAATCAGCACAAGAAATCATCCTGGCCATTCCTCCAAGTGCTTGGGGATGTTTGCTCTGAATGAGAATAAAACGTTGACTCTGCTGCCAAATACTTGTCAGCTTAACAGAGGGACTCTGGGTGGCAGTACAGACGTGCAAGGAGGGGAGAAAGTCAGAAACTACAGAAGCGTGGCCTGAATTTCACTCCCCTGGAGTGTGGCTTTCTTCCATGGTTATGGGGTTTCAGTGCTGGGACCTGCCAGGATCCTCCTTGATCATGTAGTAGAGCAGCCTCGGGGCTACTCCAGCTTGTGCTGGCTGCCCGTGGAAAGCTCAGAGGAGCTGGGGATGGGGCAAGAAGTGTTTATTTGAAGGACAGGACAGACAGGCTTGGGCAGAAGAAGAGCAACTGGGAAACTTGTTTAAGCAAGAGCATTCACAGGAGGGCAGTGCTGTCAAGCATGGGGAAAAAGCAAGCCCAGCCAGGAGGTCAGCAGCAAGCAGAGGGCTGCAGACAGTCACTGCATTCCCTTTTTATTTATTCTTGTTATTGCCTTCTTATTTCTTGTCTGGGACAATGTCAGAGCCAGGAGAAGGTCCTGTCCCAGCAGCAATGCCACACACACATGACAGTGAACAGGGTCCTCCAGACAGGGGCTGCTGGATTTCTGCTACCCATCTTGTCTTTGCAAGGGCTTTGCACTGTAGGAAAGACCACAGTAGTCCCCCACCATGCACTAGTCCCTTGTACCCCAGGGGTCTGGTCACCTTCTGGTGAGCAGCTTTCATCTGGGTGTTTCTGAGCTTCTTACATGAGTCCCTGAAAAGAGCTGGAAGCTCTTTCACACTATTTTTTTCCCTGGTAAAGCAATTCATTCACTCACTCAATTTTCACTCTTTTTGGTGGCCCAAAGAGCAGTTCTCTCTACTGTTGGCCACAGCCTCTTGCGCAGCTTTCATCCTTCGTGATGTGTGCTTTGTGGCTGTGCTCTGAGCAGGGGCTCTACCTTTGGGCCTGCCCTGCTGGTGCCGCAGAGGCAAATTCAGCAACCCCAGGCCATGTGAGAAGACAGACTCACTGCACAGCTCTCAAACAGGAAAGATTCAAACATTCAGGGCTTGGGGAAGGATGACTGCTTGCAAAAGAAAATTAAAAAATCAGATCTCACCATCAGTGAAGCTTTCCTTCACCCTGCCCTAACCAGAAAGACCATCTTTCTTTTATGTCCCTCCACAGAAAAAGCCCTAACTCCATCACCCCTTTTGAGCTCATAAATTGGAGCCTCCAAAGCCCAAACTAAGCATCTGATCATGATGTCATGCATGGATCTGCTGTGCCTGGTGAGACAGAGCATCTTCTGTGTGCAGGGGCTGGTTTAAGCAGTTCACCATGCTTTCAGGGACTTGGTCAATGCTGGTTCCCAGTGCTCATGCCTCCAAGAGCCTGTGTGGTGTGTGCAAGCTGTCAAGGAGCTGTTCTCTACCCTGGATTTTTGGAAAGGGATGTGTCTTGCTGACCCCGGGCCAAGGCAACTCTGGATGCAGGCTGGTCCAGGCTGTGTCATGTCCAGCTGTGGCCTCTAGCCATGCTGGGGAGAAGAATGACACCCTGTGTGTTGTGTTGCTGGTGCTCTGATCCTGTGGTCTGTGCTCATCCTGAGGCAAGCTCGGCCTATTGGCTCCTGCCCTTTGCTTTCAGCTATGCTGCACCTCTAGCCTATGCTACCAAACCCACTGTTTTCTGTCCACAGCTCCCCTTGTCCTGCCATTTCCACTCTTTCTCTCCCTGTCTCCCCTCTTCCCTTCCCCCCCCTTACTCTTGAATCTCTATTTCTTCTCTGTTCCAGCAAAACGATATCAATCAAGGTGATAGATGATGAGGAGTATGAGAAAAACAAGACCTTCTACCTAGAGATCGGGGAGCCCCGGCTGGTGGAGATGAGTGAGAAGAAAGGTGGGGGACGTGCTCCGGGGCTGAGCCCAGCCTGTGTGTCCCTGTCTGGCTCACTCATGCCTGGCACTTGCAACACCAAGCTCACATCCCCAGTGCCTATGGAAAAGGGCAGGAGCGAGGATACTTCTCATTCCCCCTGAACTTAGCCCTTCCCCAGCCCACCAAGGTCCAACCCTGGCTGGGTGGTCCTGCCCTTCCCCATATGCCCCAGGAGGGATGTGTAGCCACTTCCCCCCCCTGCCCCAACCATCTCCGAACCACAGCACCTAGGCGGACATGAACTGCATGCATGTGTGATGCCAATCATGTGTTTGCCTTTGTCTTGTGTTCCCACAGGAAATTCATTACCCTTAGAGTACTTGACCGTGAGGAGTATGAGAAAGAGTGCAGTTTCTTCCTTGTGCTTGGGGACCCGGTGTGGCTACGACGAGGAGTGAAAGGTGTGAGAGTAAAACCAGACCAGCTCTGGAGACGCTGCCGTCCGCTTTCTCTGTGTCTCCCTACTCTCACACTCCTTTCTCCTCGCACTTTGGCTCCTGGCCATTTTGCCCTCCTTCCTTTGAAGCTTGGCCACTGCACCTTTTTGCTCTGTTTTCTTTACTCTTTCATTTCAGAAGGACTCTGTCTCACTCATGAGGGCCTCCTGGGAGCAAGGCACGCTCCTAAGACAGCCCCAGAGCACCTGGGCAGGGGATGATGAGCATTGCCAATGCCCGGAGACATTTTGTGAGTGCTGCCATGCCACATCTCAACTACACCTTGATTAAATTGAGTAGAAAATTCAGTCTTGAGAAGTAAAAAGGCAACGCTACATCATTTTTATCAGAAGACAAAATAACCATTGCTTGAAATAAAATGCATGGCCAAAGCAGTAATTTTAGCCTTTCACTAGGATATGAAAATAGCTGAGAACGACAGCACAAGCAGGTAATACCATAAGGTACAATCAGTCTAGGAGAAATCAGGTTATACTCGAATCAAGTTTCATGGCACTGCACTGGATAATAGCTCCTCATAGAAATAATAAAAACAATTTCCTCTTTTGTCACATTTCTAAACCAACTGTAAACCTTCCCAAAAAGACAGAGTTCTCTTATTTTTCTATGCATTTTTTTCTGATAGGAAATTAAGGGAAAGTAAATGGCAACAGCTAATTCTGCTCACTATTGGTGCCTGAGCAAGAAGCAGTTTTAGAGTTACTTAAGATGATTAGTTGCCCTACAACAGACCCTTATTAAAGCCTTTGTAAAAAATTGGCAGCAGCATTTGGTCTGTCTGCCTTGGAGCTGCTTTCTAATTTCTGGGACATAAGCAGGCATGGGGTTGTGATATATTATTTGTTGAGGGCAGAGAGGGCCCGCAGTGATCTGCACACTGAGTGGGGACATGCTGCTGTATTTCAGGCTAAAAACACATCCAGCAGCGATGCCACGTTCCCCTTCAGCACAGGTGCTATCTAGGTCAGCTGCTTTGTCCTCTCCATCAGATTTCCTGCAGGTTTATGTGACTGGCTAGCAGAAGCAGGGCTAAAAAATCAGACATACTGGCATGGTTCAGGCTCTGCAGGTAGGATTTGTATCATTAAATGGTGCCGGAGGCATCTATGGAGCATAGCCAGTGTTGCCAGGATAAAGTGACACATGGACAACTCGGTGACTCCGTCTTTGCCCAGCCTCACAGGCACCAGCATGGGTTCAGCCTTATGAGTCCAACATGAGAAAACAGGACCCAGGACCCAGGTTTGAGAATCATGGTACTGAGTCATGAGATCCCAGCTGAAATTTTTAATTTGATAAAAACAGAAAAGGAAAGAAAGTTCCTCATCTTCTTTGTCACAAAGATAACTGAGGAAACTTGAAGGAAGCTCAGCTTTGCAAACTCACTAGCTGGAAGGCATGTCAAGGTTTTAAAGGATGCTATTTGCTGCTTTGGCCATGCAATGATTGGTTTTTTAACTTGTTTTTTGTGTTTGGTTTTGTATGAGAGGCAGCGAGGTGGGGCGAGCTGTGTGCTCGGCACCCTGGAGACGAGAGTATCTCTGAAATGTCACCCTTGGGCCATGTAACCACAGTCAAGTCCATGCCTCAGGGGCCAGACACTCACCACTGCACTAAAGGAAAGGCTTTTGCTTTTGTTTTGGAGACCTAAAATGCTGAGTGACAAGATACTTGAGCCAAGCCTTGCCACAGATTTTTCTTCTCTCATTGTATATGCCAGAAGTGCAGCTTCCTGATGGAGCTATTGCTCCCCATTAGGCAGCTGGAGGAGGTCAAAGCCAGTAGCCGCCATACATGCGACATCTTATGTCCTCCCCCGGGGCAGAACTGCCTCCGAGACCAATGGAAGATCTTGCACGTACAATTCAAAGGGGAAAAATTATTTTTTTGAGTGTACATTTTAATCCCGTAGCCACCCCATGTTTTTAACAGTTTTTATTTTAAATCCACAATCCCATGAAATGTTTCTGTTCCTTTATTTTTAGTGCCTTCCTCTCAACACTAGTGGTATCCTGTAGCTTTACAGATCTGAAATCTCTACCCTGGGATCTGGAATCTTTCTGTGGATATCCCTTTTGATTTCATTACTCATTTACTTTTCTTCTTCTGTGTTTGTCGCTGTCTGTCTCCTTCACAGCCCTGTTGTTGAATGAGCTTGGTAAGCGCGCATTCGTTTTTCTTTTCCATTTTTCCAGTTTGTCTGCGTATCTTCACTCAAAACATTCTCTTTTAGGGTCATCAGCACTATTTAAGTAAGCTCAGGTATCTTATGCCACATCTTTCCTTAGAGTAGAGCCTCAAAGTCACTAACGTTAACAAGCAGTAACCCACAGTGGCAAGGAGCATTTTTTGGGGGATGGTGTTGTTACAGCCATAGTAAACCCACCAACACCCCAAGTTACAAACTGGCACCATGCAAATTAACCCATCGCGTCTTACACTGGCATGGCAGAAACAGGATTGCCTGGCAACTTAAGAGATACTTGTGGCTGGACAGGAAAGTTGGCCAAGCTTTTTTGAAGTGAAAATTTCACCTCCAGTCTTGGGGACATTTAAAGCCCACTCAGCCTCTGAATTTTTTTGCTGGCCATCCCCAGGATAGGGCAGCCAGGGAGGGAAGCAAAGCCTCCCTCATACCCCAGAGCACCCCCAGCCCCAGTGCAAGTTTACACTGGTTTTATCCACTCTGCAGCATATATTAGATACTGGGGGTGGCAGCTTCAGATTAGGGTTGAAAAGACTGTGTTCAGGTGTTCCTGCACTATCCCTGATGTTTGTAGGGAAGCAGCCCCACCATGTCCACAGTCCCCAGACATGGATCAGGGAAGGACCACCACATCCCTGCAGGCTGCAGGGTGTCTGTTGCTGTGCCAATGCTAATCCTCTCTCTTCTCTCTCTCTCTCTCTCTCTCTGTCTCTCTGTTTCATCTAGGTGGCTTCACCATCACAGGTATGGATTTCTGCTCTCCCCCTGCCCCCCCTTTCCTTCCTCTTAATGGCCATATGCTCACCTCACTCTTTCCTCTTTGTTTTTGTTCTGTCCTGGAGGGAAACTTTGGAAGGGTAAGAAGGCGCTGTGCCGTGGCCCCACTGCCCCAGACAGTCACACTAACACTGTGTCCTCTTACAGAGTGCTCTGCCTGCCACACAGATCTAACTCCCACCTCGGGGAAGGGGACGAATCACCCCTGAAGTGACAGGCAACCACCCTCTATCTCTTGGAGCAGGGGGTACTTCTCCACTTAGTCCAGCCTCTCCCTCACTGCTGCCCACACAGGAGATGTGCACAGGGCTCTGCATGGCGCGGTGAACCTGTCCTCACTCCCCGAGCAGCAGCCAGGGTGCCTGAGCACTGCTGGAGGTGTGGGACCCCACAGCTGCTTCAGGCACACAGCCCCTGCCCTTCCCACCAGCAAGACCCAGCAGCAGCATTTGCTCATCTGTCATTAGGTTGAGCACTGCAGGGGGAGAAGGTCCTGGGTCCCCCATGTTGCAGAGCAGCCGCTCAAGAGCCCCAGAAACAATAATTCCAACTAACAAGACTCTGGCCATGAGGCCAGTCCCTTTGATGAGCAGAAGGGCTTTCCCACAGCATGGTGCTGCCTGTGCAGACGAGGGGCAGCCAGCAAAGGGAGTGACACTAACCCCGCGTGAAGTAGGAGTATACTAACTGCATGGTGGTGGTTTGCATGGGGCATACAGTCCCTCCTGCTGATCTCCTGCTGATCGCTTTCATAGGCAAACCTGTCTTCAGGAAGGTCCAGGCTAGAGATCATCCTCTTCCTTGCACCGTGGTCACCATCCAAGGTATCCACAGTGTGCCTCCCGAGGGCCATGGCAGTCTAACACAGACTGACTGGGGTATTTCCTTGCTGACAGTTTAACTCCTGTCTCCAGCGAATCCAGCCCTCTTTAACCCTGATGTCCTTCTGCTCATCCCTGGGGTGGCCTGGAAGCGTGCTTAGTGGGGGTCTGCATAGGGACAGTGACAAAAGTCCTGCTGCCTGGAGTCTCCATGGCCCAGAGGTTGCACGGGTGCCAGTGGAGCTGCAGACCTGCTCCCTCCTGTCTCAGCGTTTGGGGCCAGGCCATGCCCTGTGGATGGCTCCTCACACCTGTATGGCCAAGCACTTCCACCAGCCCCACCATCACAGAAGGAGTTTCATGCTCTCCAGCTGACAGTCCCTTCCAAGATAAAGCCCTGCTCAGAAGGAGGCAAAGCCAAGATTTCACACCTATCGCAGCCCTGGGGCTTCTGGCAGCTGTCTCTGGTTGTAACAGGCTGATGGAAATGTCTTGACCATGCGCCAGTGCAGACTTGGAGAGCTGGGAAATGGAGCAGCCTTTATGATTACCTGTCTCCTCCCAGCACCCCTGTGGGAGAGGCAGGAGGTACCAGGTGATAAACCATTCCCCAGCACTGAGAGTGAACTGGACTCCTTCTGAGGTTGGATGAGTTGCAGACCTCTTGCTAGCACTTCCCAGCAAAACTACCTTGTCTGTTTCTCCATGACCATCTCCTCCTCCTCCTCAGCTGCTCTGTCTCTCACACTCCCACACGGAGGCTTCCTGACCTCCTCCTCTGACAGGAAGCCAGCTCCAAGGAGTGACCAGCTGGGCCTGGCTCACCAACAGGCTCTTTGCTTTGCAGAGGAGAACGAAGAAAAGCAACCACTGACCATCAAGGAGGAGGAAGAGCGTCGGATCGCAGAGATGGGGCGCCCAGTCCTGGGAGAGCACACCAAGCTTGAAGTCATCATTGAGGAATCCTACGAGTTCAAGGTACTGTCCATGTCCTCTGTCCCTGTTTTCCTCTCAAGCTGGGGACCCTCCTTTTGAATTTGAACAGCATTGGCAAGCATGTGTTGATGGTATCATAGCAAAATGAAGCAGATCCTCATATCACAAGGTCTCAGAGCAGGACCAAGGGACAACTTGAAATGTAGCTGAGCCAAGGCATAATGAAAGGGTGAGGGTCACTCCAGTGAGATGGCAGTGGGTTAAAATACAGTCTGATCCTCACTCTCTCTGTTAGCCCACAGCCATGGTCCTTGGGGGATCATCCCAGACTGTTTGTGGCTACTGTTATACAAGAACATCAATGTGGTGAGCCTAAGAGCGGACTGGGCTTCAAAATGCTGCAGGTTGCTTTAAATATAACCTCGTTCTCATAGTGAAGTGCTACACCCAGGTCCTACTTACAGGTGGTCTTGAGTGAGCCCTGAGCCTGGGACTTCCAGCACAAAGGGCTGATACCCTAAATGCAAGTAACGGTTGTGAAGTTAAGCTGCCGTGAATGTGTGTGCCAGGCCAAGAGCCGAAAATTGACCATTTCATTATCTTTTCCATTTTTCTGTAGCATAAAAATTAATAGACCATGCTTACTGTGTTGCAGCAGTGGCTGCCTCCCTCCTGTGGTTTTGGTGCCCACCATCAGTGTGCATCTGAGGCATCACAGCATGCAGGCAGCCCTCAGGCTGCCTGCCCAGGAGCATCTCCTAACCTGCTGCTGCCACAGCACCTTCCCTGCCTCACTGAGCTTCAGCTCCTGAGCAGCATAGAGAGGTAGAACACAGTTTTGCAAATGGGCCTTGATTAAGTCCCAGTTAAGTGCTTTGAAGCAGCCTGGTAAAAATTCTTCCCAAGGCATTGGGAACAATAGGAGCTGTGGCACCTCAACACTATTTGCTGTTAAACCTGTGCTGAGATGGTTCAAACTCCCATCACGATCAGGTTTCAAAAGGTCTTTTTGAGCAGCAGTGAGGGAAATTGCAAGTACTTACATTTGCTTTTGCTGCTGGGGCTCTGAAGCTGAAAATCTGAACTTAAAATCTGCTAAGCTTTTTTCATAAGTGCATGGCTTTATGCACTAGCATTGGTAGGTTTTAGCCCAGCATCTCCAGCCCAATAGCCCCTAATTCTCTCCTCTGCATCTCCATCCACAGAACACAGTGGACAAGCTCATTAAGAAGACGAACCTGGCCCTGGTGGTTGGCACAAACAGTTGGAGGGAGCAGTTTATTGAGGCTATTACTGTCAGCGCAGGTGAGTTCAGACCATAGCTCCAGGTGAATTATGATGAACCTGGCTCATGACTCAGCTTGGCTGTATCAGTAATACAGACCATAGTGGAGCAGCAGGAAGCAAAACAGGTGGCAGAGTTATTTACAGCGTCTGCATAAATAAGACAACTGATTAAACCCTTTCATGAGACCACCTTGTCTGATGTATAGGAAACCTCCTGCATTAAGTGTATCTGTAGCACCCGGCAGAGAAACATCCTGGCTGTTCACCAGATGGCAGAGGGGAAAAATCATTTCAGTGAGACACATTTAGGAGGTGAACACCGTGTTTAAATTCAGAGCAGCATACATGATGCTGGTGTGAAGCAGCAGTGCTCCCCATCCCTGGTGCTCCCCATACTGCTGCAATGAGCGACAACATAGTAGCGAGAGTGCCAACCCTTGAAGACAGCCACTGAATCCCTCTCTCGGTGGGCCAAAATTTGCGCTTCACCCCTGCTTTCAGAAACCCTTGCTGCTCCAGCCAGCTGTGGCTGGAGGTTATGGCTCAGCAGCCCAATAGCAGCCCAATAGCTGCCACAGCACATGATATCTGTAGTCATATCAGAGCATATCTGATCTTCCCTCTCTTGGAGAATTGCTTTTTCCTCAGAAATACCCTGTGTAGTACTGTTCTCACAGGTGCCAGTGCTGTGTTTACTAGTATGTGTTTACTAGATACATTAGCATTCCCACATATGTGGAAGGTGAAAGAAAGCGGGTCTCCTCCAGATGTGTTTTTAACAGCTGGAGACACTGTAACTCACCAGCTGGATGTTACAACCTCACAGCCCAGCCTGGACTGCATGTGTGCACACAATTAGGGCAAAGTCAACCAGCTTAAATCAAATCACTGGGGAAGGCAATCTGAGCTTATCTAACTAATTGTGCATTGAAATGCATGGGGAAATACACACTTCCTACCTCGAGCTCTGCTGTACAGAGTAACCTCTGCCCAGCACAAAGTAATTAAAAGTGATGGCTGTACTATTTACCATCCACCTCTGAAAATGAGGACAGGACATTGTGCAGCAGCTATCTCTTCAAATTGTGATCTTTCCTCTTGTAGCATAGTTATTCTTAGAGCCTCCAGCCAAGAGCCTCCCATTATTTCAGATACAGCATGAACATACCACGCAAGACAATCCTTGCTGCAAGTTTTGTATCTAATATGGCTAAACTAATCTCTGCCAGAATCAATGATTTAATTGCATCCAATATTAAAGCAAAGGTAATTACTGGTACTTGGATCCCATCTCTGCAACACATGTGAAAGCCCCTTTACCACCGTGTCTCGAATATGCAGCCCCCATTAGTGCTAACAGGATGATTAACAAACATTTAATAAACCTGTCATATTTCGGTGAACGTGATCTGTCCCTTGCAGTTGGGGAACAGTAGTTTGTCTCTGAGCTCTGGACCTACTTTTTTTTTGCCAGGATTTAGCTCCTCAAGCTTTGTGCCAAGCAAGTTAAAATGCTTCAAACACTAGAGTTTGAGTTTGAGTTTTTTCCTGCAGCCCATCATGGGGAGCAGGTGAAAGGCACACATTCCCACTTCAAAATGTAACATCCCATCTGAGAAAAGAAACATTAAAACACGTTCTGGGAAAAGAAACATTAAAACACCGTTTCCCACCCAGTGAGCAACTGGCAGCAATGTTGTCAGGGAGTGGAGCAATGGAGTGGTAGGCCAAGTCTCTGGAAGGGCAGTGCAGGTGCAAGCAAGTCTGCGCCACACCGTGCTATGTCATCCCATACTGTCCACAAGGCTAAGCTGGGGCCTCACTCATAACTACCTTCAGTGTGTACCCAACAGCCCATAAAGTTTCTTGCACAGCAAAAACATCCTGGGGTTTGTGAGCCTGTTCCTGAGTGCACCCCTGGGTTACCATCCAACCTCACTCTGTGTTTCAAGGCACCTTCACAGGATCTGGCCAACTCTTCAAAAGAGAGACATTATTGTTGCTTAACAAAATGATGAACAGATCTGGATGAGTGTTGTGACAGTGGCACTCATGTTCATTTTTCAGTCTGTTTTATCGCCTCCATCAAGATTTAGATCCATGACAGACCTGCTGCCATGCAGCTTGGGAGAGGATTAAAATACCTGCTGCAATATTATAGTGTGAGCATAGCACAGTGTATCCTTGTAGTACCAGCCTTTGTGCATCAAACAAAAAAAAAAACTAGGCCAGAATAGACTTCCCAGGCTGAAAAATTGTTCCTTGTCTTCACAGTAATGCATAGGAGTAGGGTATTTATATCTGCCAAAATAATAACACCTTGCCACTGATTAGCTACTGTTTCTGCCATAGTGAGTTTAAAGCCAAGCAACACATAATTTTCCATCAAGTTATTGTAGAAACATCAACTTTCCCACTACTTGTATCTTATGTGTTGGTCTTGATCTACAAAGGTGCTTTGAAGCCAAACAATGTGTGCAAAGTTGCACTCCAGCAGGGTGCGAAGTAGGACTCTCCCCTGGTTGATCATGGCTTTATTTAGCTGAATATTGAAAACCTCCAAAGATTATGTCCATCAGCCAGAGTATGTGTCCTGGGGCTGCACCACCCTTTTGGAGAAGACGTTCCTCCTAATGTAACCATCCAAGTTGCAGTTTGTGGCCATTTCCCCTTGTTGCATTGCTTGTCAGTGCAGAGGGGAGTTTCACTCCATCCTTTCTGTACATGACCTCCAAGTCACTATAGGCTTTTGCTTGGTCCCCTCCAACCTCCCCTCCTCCTGATTCACCAAGTCAGCTCCTTCCACCTCTCCTCACAGGCAACATCCTCCAGGTTCCAATCATCTTGGTAGCCCCACTGAATCCAACTTCACTCAAGCCCTCATGTGGGATGCCATATCCCCTGTGTACAGACAGATATCTGCATTAGAGGTTTCCTCCTGCCTTGCTCTCACTGGCTCCATCACTACCCTCTCCCCTGCAGCTGCATCTCTGCTGAGAGCCCCAGGAATCCCAGCAGAGTGCAAGGTTGACATGTACTCTTGGCCAAACCAAGAGCAGGTTGACTCCCCTTACAGGTTACCAGAACTCTTGAGGATAATCACAGTCTGGGTGATCCCTGGGAATTTTCCCTTTCTTGCTTATGTGTGCTGCATGTGCTCTCTGCAGGACCACAAGGGGAAATAGCCAAGAGGTAAAACTTCAGTGCACAGGGTTTGGCTGCCACTTTCCCAAGAAGGATGCCATGTCTTGATCCCCCAGTTGGCTTTTCACCTTTGTGATGAGGCAGAAAGCAATTGTTGTTATGAGCAGCAACAGAGCAAGCAGCTCACCAGCAGCTTCCCCCAGTAATTCTGTTGTCATGGCATAGAGCCACCATTTGAACATGGGGTTAATTGATACCCACGTATAGGTACACAGCGTACAGCAAAACCATTTTATATTCTTTCTGTGGGAGGTTTTATACATTTTGTTAGTCAAACATCCGTATTGTGGAGGAAGGTGTGAAAGGAGGAGCGTTCAAACTGGCCAGCAGTGGGGCAGATAAAAACAGCACAGTCTCATTCAAAAGCTTATGCCAGCCTGATTAGTACTGTGGCTGCCAGGAGAAACAACTTTTCCCAGACACATAGCCATCATCCCCTTAAACACAGGGACCTTGTTCCCTTGCCCACTGTGGTAGAGCAGCACACAGAGTCAGGTTTCACTGGGTGCTCTTGACTACTCTGGGACTTGGTCCCTTTTATCTGCCATCCTGAGGTTTCCTCCAGGGAAGGAGTGCCAGACTCACTCATGCCATCTGACAGGGATGGACTGCACATTGCGTCCTCCCCTTGGTGAGGAGCTTCTGCCAAAAGCCACACAGGGAGATCTAGTGGTCCATATCCTTGGAGGGAAAAAAATTCATCACAGACAGTGACAAATCACCAACTTGAATGTCTTTAACACAACTCACAAACAGCCTTGGAATCACCGATGTCCATAATTTAGAAATCCATTCTTGTCCCTTGAGGGCAGCAGGAAGGCTCCCACTGATTTCACTGGAAAAGCATCACCTCCCCTTCACGCCTGGGGGTAGTTCAGCATGAGCAGGAGGAGTTTTTGGCTGTGCCATGACTTTAGCGTTGTGTGCTGTGCCAGGCTGGGCGAGTTCCATGTTCATCACACAGCCCACCCAGAGGACAGGCTGGCCAGTGGGCCTGCAAAATGCCTTGCCAGCGCTGCTGGAGTCAGGCAAGAGATCACCAGCCCCAAGGGGCTCACTGGCAGGGTCAGCCCCCTACAGTTAGGACTCCCTGGAGGCTGGATGTCAATTGGCTTTGGAGAGACAGGTGGGGTGCCAAAGCCTGGAACAGGGAAGGGAGAAACTGAGACACCTGCCTAGATCCCCGTGGTCCTGCTGAGACCAACAAGATGAAGATGTGCTGGGCCAGTGCAGGGGGAAAGGGCTGAGGAACTGGGGAAGAGGGCCAAGACAGTCCAGCATCTACTGAGCTCTTTCCCCATGACCTATAGGAGAGCTTCTGGGCACAAGCCAGCCTTCATGTCCAGGGGGCATGTCTGGGTGCATAAGTCCCCAGGAGCCTTTGGGGACATGCAGCAGCTGACACATAGGCTCTGAGAGCCCCTGGGACATAAAGCAGTATGGGCATGAGGACTCACATCCCCAACTCTTCCTCTGTGCTGGAGACCCAGGTACTGCAGGTGCTACAGGGGTCACAACTGTGAGCAGCAGGGCGCTGTGTGGGACCAAGCACTCAGCACAGCACCAGGAGAGCCAGGGTCCAACCCACACAGTGTGCCTGGAGAGCAGAGATAGGGCCAGGACTGCTGGCAGGCCCACAGTGGGAGAGTGACCTCTGCAAGGCATTAACAACAGATTGGTGAGAAGTGAAGCCCTGACCTGGATCAGGGACAGAAAATAAAGGGAAGGAAATGCATTTTTGCTGCGACAAATGATGCCCTGTAGCTGGCTCATAACCTGGAGTGCTTGACAGCTACCTGGAAGGGGTGCAAACATGAAAGCGTTTGCTTGTGCAAGGGGTGCCCACTGACCTGGGTCAGACCAGACTGAAAGGAATGGACAGCCAGAGCTCGTAGGGAGGCACATGAAGGGAAATGCAACAGGGAAGGACAACAAGAAGTGATGGACAGGTTTTAGGGCAGGTATTCTTCATATCTGGTTTGAAGATAAACTGAAGTGACAGAGCTAGCAGCTCGGCAGCCACCAAAACCAGCCATCTTTCCAGAGAGCTGGAAGCAATTGCAGGCACTTGTGAAAAGTAGCTCAAAAAGGGCTTCCTTAGGGGAGTCTCCATGAGGCTCATATTACTCTTGGTAGAGTTCACCTGCCCTGATCAGCTCCAGCTAGTGTGAGGCCAGTCATTGTCATTGTAGAGATGGACAAAGCGACACACATACGCTCACATGGGTGAACAAGTGGCTAGGTTTTTTTCTTACTAAAAGCATGCATTTTTATATATTTCAGGTGCCAGAGTGTTACAATATAATTGGTAAAAAAGTTGTTAACATTCTCATTGCATAACCTTTATCAGTTTCCTCCCTGCTTGCTTCGTCCTGCTATGTAGACAGCAGCTCCTTGGAAGTTACTTGTTTTAAGCATAGCTTCCTTATCTCAAGGGTACACCAGAATCTTGTCAGGGTCAAACTCTTCTTCAATCAGGTTGTCAGCAGACCAGATGCTTTCCCCGACAGGTCATTTTCCACATCTTCTGATGAAAGTGCTCCTGAGCAGGGGCTGTCATAGAAAGCATCTGATGGTCAAACTCAGGCAGAGGTGCTGGCATGAGGCTCTGCATTTTCTGAAGTGTGTGTTGGTTTTCAAGACCAATGCCTTTGCAGGGTCTCTCTATGGCATGGGAAGGGGACAGGAAAGGCTGTCAAGCCCCTCTGATGATTGCCCAGAAAATAAGATATTTAGAAGTCAAGTCCTTCTAGAGCAAAAATCATGAGAGACAGCATTTGGGGGGCTGCAGAATGCAGAGGAGCTTTGCCCAACCTCCCCCAGTATGGGCGAGTCTAATCAGGCACTGGTGGTTTTCTCCAGGAGAAGATGACGATGACGATGAATGTGGGGAGGAGAAGCTGCCTTCCTGCTTCGATTACGTGATGCACTTTCTGACCGTCTTCTGGAAGGTCCTTTTTGCCTTCGTGCCTCCAACAGATTACTGGAATGGCTGGGCTTGCTTCGTCGTCTCCATCCTTATGATCGGCCTCCTGACAGCATTCATCGGCGACCTGGCATCCCACTTCGGCTGCACCATTGGCTTGAAGGACTCTGTCACCGCGGTCGTGTTTGTTGCACTGGGAACATCGGTGCCAGGTAAGAACCTACAATATAATTGGTTAAAAAGTTGTTAACATTCTCATTGCATAACCTTTATCAGTTTCCTCCCTGCTTGTTTCATCCTGCTATGTAGACAGCAGCTCCTTGGAAGTTACTTGTTTTAAGCATAGCTTCCTTATCTCAAGGGTACACCAGAATCTTGTCAGGGTCAAACTCTTCTTCAATCAGGTTGTCAGCAGACCAGATGCTTTCCCCGACAGGTCATTTTCCACATCTTCTGATGAAAGTGCTCCTGAGCAGGGTCTGAGTCATAGAAAGCATCAGCATGGTTTGTTGTAAATGTCCATCTCTGCCCAGTCTAGATTTGTGTTTGGGCTGGGAAATCTGACCACAGTGAGCTACTTGGCTGTGCTCTGCAGGACCCCCAAGGACAGATTTGAGGTGTATGTGGAAGTTGCTTTTCAGTCTCAGATGAGCCGGGAGGATTGAACCAGGATGTGGATCCAGTTCCCCGGAAACGGTTTCAAGGACCTTTGTTTTGCAAAGACTGAAGTATCTAGTTCTGTGGACAGCCTCCATGGCACCCACTCTCAAAGTAGGAAATTGGTCTTTGATTAATATGCTGCCTGTTTTGACAATCCTGGGCTTGCTTTCTGAGCGTCTGCTCCTTTAATCTTGCCTCCCAGGTGAGTTAGGTGCTAGTCCATATTCAGGGCACACTGCCCAAGACAGACACCTTTGTATGATACCTGGTTCAGATAGATCAATGTGAGGTTGCTGAGCTGAGGGAGCTGCTCAAAATGTGATATGTGAAGCCCCTAGAAGTTCCTGACCCCACAAATATTTGGAGATGTGTCTCTAATCAAGTGGTCACCCAGCCTCAGAAGACAGCAGAGACTGAGGACTGACCAGGGAGAGAAAAAAAAAACAGGAGTTTTCATACCTATGTTCCACTTTGTTCTCCTGCACATTGACTTGCTGCAACCCAGCCTCCTTTTCTGCTGGCTCAGCAAAGGGCCTCTCTTAGGGATGAGCCAGTGCACTGGAGAGGATGGTTGCAGTGACATGGTTGCTCTGGGAAGTCGCCTGTCGGCTTATGTGAGAGGGCCTGTGCCTTTCACTCACCTTCTTCCATGGGCTGTGCTGGCCAGACAGAGCCTGGTTCCTGGACAACCCAACACAACTACCCTTCACATCAGTCACACTTTCCCTCAGACTTCCAGTGATCAGCACTCAGGTGCTTGAAGATCTTGAAATTGTCCTAATGCTATCAGAGCCCCAAAGAAAAGCAGCAGAACCAAAAGGAATAACCGATTTGGGCAAGGAACAGAAGAAGGAGCATTTTTTAGACCTCTGGCACTAGAGTTTTTAGATGTGAGGTTGGCAGGGCTGTCTCACACCCTTGACAGTGAAAATCTTCCCTCCTACTTTTGTTGAGAAAAGGTGTTGTTTAAGAAATTCTTTTTAGGATACATTTGGCTACTCTTACTTGAACTAGCAGACCATGTTGTGTTATCTGGGTGCTAGCTGGGCTCCTCCACACCTGCTTTCCAGAAGGTGGGCAGTCATCAGATGAACATAGAGTGAAATCAAGACCAACGGGGACCTTCCCTGCACTAAAAGCACCACTCAAGCTTGCAGAAGTGCCACATGGTTGTTTCCACACTCTGGCTATTGCCCCATCTCTCCTTCCACAGTGGCAGATGGAGAGCCACAGGGGCATCAACCCTATTACTGCACCATGATCAAGGCTGAGAACAAAGGGAAATGCCTTTCCCTTCCCTCAGCAGTCAGATGCATATGCATGGGACCTTTTTAAAAAAATAAAGCAGCTTTTGATTTTTTTGCTGAAAATGGCCCTTGTTGTGCCCAACCCTCCCTGTTACATGAAATTGGGTCTTTGTGCTGGGTATTCACTATCTCAGCTTAGAGCCCCACTGGGAAGGAGTGTTAAAGGAAACTCTACGAAATTAAAAAAACATGAAATCTGACCTCACTATTTTCTTTTTCTGAGCCACACTCTGCTGCCTGTACCCAAGGTGATCTGGGGTTGCAGATGTGTTAAGGATTCATCTTCTCATAGTTAGCTGAGAGTGTTCACCTAGACAAAACCCAGATGCTAATCCCCTCTCCTGCCTACCACCCCTGTAGATCCAGAGTGGATTTCAATGTAAAATCAGCACTTCCCTACAGTGCAGAGCAGTGGTGTGCTGGTCTACTTGATACAAAATCTGCCATGAAAAAGGCCAGCCAAGTTTTATCAGAGCTCTTTCACCACCAGTATTAAAGCTGGTGGAGCACCTGGACAAGCATACACCCACCTGCATGGTTTTTTTCTACCCAAGGGGTGAAAGATGACCACTCATTTACCAGAGTGTCAGGGTCTGCACCAGACACTGGACTTCAGTGAGACAAAAGGTCTTAGAGAGACATCATTAAAGCAAACACAGAAACACAAATACAAAACTTTGGAGGACCTGAAGAATAGATACAAAGCATTGTGGCTCCCACAAAACTTTTCCAAGCTTTTCAGTTCTTTTGCAAGTCAACAAATTAGTGGATGTGGGAGAAGGGGCCAACACAGTGTAGCACTGGGAAGTGTTGTCTTTTGCTTGAAGAACCGTCGGGCATCTGGGGCCATACTGGGGGAAACACCTTTTTTCTGGACACTGAGATTTCCCTCCTGGGCATTTTTAGACCCTGATTGTCACTCTGCCTCTGGCTAGCTGTGGCCTTCCTTGAGAGTGCCCATAGATGGGGCTGTACCCTGTCCCTTTATCCACTATCTTCATTACCCAAGTGATGTCATTGACATTTGTCCCCACACTGCCTTCTGCTGTCCTTCCTTACCTGGCCCTTTCCTGAGGGATTCTCTGCTTTCCCTTTGCAGACACATTTGCCAGCAAAGTAGCAGCGACACAGGACCAGTATGCGGATGCCTCCATCGGGAATGTCACCGGGAGCAATGCCGTGAACGTTTTCCTGGGCATCGGGGTGGCCTGGTCAATTGCAGCCATCTACCATGCAGCACACGGACAAGCTTTCCAAGTCTCGCCTGGCACCCTGGCCTTCTCTGTCACCCTCTTCACCATTTTTGCTTTTATCAGTGTGGGCGTGCTGCTCTACCGGCGGAGACCCGAGATTGGAGGTGAGCTGGGTGGGCCACGGACTTCCAAGCTGCTCACATCCTCACTTTTTATCCTCCTCTGGCTCTTGTACATATTCTTCTCATCTCTGGAAGCCTACTGCCACATAAAGGGCTTCTAAAGGGACAATCAGAGATAGTAAATATATATATATATCTATATGTATCTATATAGAGTGATATATAGGTATAGATATAGATATAATGCCGTATATAATGAACAGAGAAAGAATAAAAGAGATTTGCTATGTTCACACACCTGCTGACGGAAAGCAGCTTTGGAGCATCATTTGAACTAGGCAGGACCCCAAATCCAGCAGGGCCCCTTCCAGGGCAGCAGTCCCAGGCAGGAGCCCAGCGGCAGGGCCCTCTCTGCAACTCTACCAACAAGAGCAGCTGATAGCCACCAAGCCTTTTCCATCGCTCTCTCCTGCCTGCTGGCCCCCCAGGAGGATGGATGCGAAGGCAGCTGGGGCGTATTGGTACAGGGAAGGCCAGAGTAGCTGGTGAGAAACAGAGCAGTGGGTGAGGGAAGGAGAGGAAAGCAAGGGTCCTGATCTCCAACCACCATCTGCCTGCCTTTGCCACTTGGGAACATCCCCTCTGGCCCCCCTGTTGGAGAGAAGCAAGAGACCAGACTGAAGACAAGGGGTAATTGGGAGCTTTCTAAGGATAGAACACAAACCGTTTTTGTCATTGATTTGAGGTTGTTTTAGAGTTTTTTGTTTTGGTGTGTGTACAACTAGCATTTACCCCCCAACATGCCCCTTGCCTTTCCCCCCTCCATGCTTCAGGGATGCGCCACCGCAACCTCGTGTCCAGTGTCCTAAGCCGAGGCTGCATGGAGCAGCGAGGGCTTTCCTCCTGCCTCATCTGCCTCCTCGGGCATGCTGCCGTGGTACTTGTAACATTTGCATGAATGAAATGAACCCTATCTGTATATAGCATCCTATAGCGGTAGTCCTTCCAGCCATGTGGATTGAGCATTGCAGATACAAGTGTTTTCTTTTCACCAGGTTTTATTTATTTTAGTTAGTTTAGTTTTGCCATAGGTTTTTGTTCATTTGTTTGTTTCCTCTTAGTGGGTGTAAAAGGAGGGAAAACTGTTCCTATTTATTGCTCTGCACGTGGGTCCACAAGAAGCAATAACAGCCATGCAGATGTAGGTTTTCAGGGGAGGAAAGCCCACACCCCAGAGACTGCAGGCTCCATCCCCCTGCATGGTCGGAATCCCCCCCTGACAGTGGCCAGTCCAGGACATACTGAAGGCCTCCACTGCCCACTAGAGGCTTTACACAAGGTCCCAGGAAGCCTGAGTGGGAAGAGCAGCATCCAAACCCAAGGAGGACAAGCATGGGCTGGCTCTCAGCACCTCGTCTGCCTCTGCCTTTATAGCCAGTGGCTGCCTCAAAACCCTTTGGCCTCCTGCTATTCCCTGTGTCCCCAAAGGTCTAGTGACAGCCCCTGTTTCTAAGCATTAAGCCATCAGGATCAGTCCCCAAAGCTGGTCCTTCCCTACAGCCATTTGGAGGCAGAATAATTCAGCATAAAGGCTGAAGGGCTGTAACAGATCTCTTATGCCACTGAGGGTAACCAGGAAGGGTGCTTCAAGGAAAAAGGCCACATTTTGCACTGTTCAAATCTGAATCGATGGGAAGGATGAGATAGGGAGGTGTAACTCAGCATCACCCCCTGACTCCAGCAGCGTGGGCTGAAATAGAGAGCCGAGCCCAGGAGAGTGTGGGTGTAGAGCTTCCCTGAGTGCAGCACAGGAATGACATTGTGCACTGATGTTGAGAGACATCTTCTTACCCTACACCCTTCACCAGGCTTCCTGGAGTCCCAGCCATGCAAATGCCCAGCCTGCACAGCCACTGGTGAGCTCTTCCCACCCAGCTGAAAACCACATCTGACACTTGTACCATGACTGATTGGTTGGGGGTATTTGTACTTATTTTGAACAATCTGTGGAAAATTTGATTAACCTGTTGTAAGATTTTTATCTAGGAATATGAAGCTGTGGGGTTACTTTTTCTTCTCAAGCCTTCTTTTCCCTTTTAGTGGGGTTTGGGGGTTTTCTTTTTGTTTCTCATTGTTTTGGGGGAAGAATCAAACACAGGCACAGGTTGTTCATGTTTATGGTTACCTTTATGTACAATTATTTCATTTTCATCTGTTTGGCTTCATTGATATTTCTTTATGTGTATTGCCCACCACTATAAGCAGTGAGTCCACTAACTGTGATGATGGTACACAATGGTACACAATGCACAGACAAATAAAGTTTGTAATGTTTCCTGATGGATCCAGTAGTGCTCCGCCATATTCTCTATGGAAAACCCTTCCCTCCCCTCCTGTTGTCTCTCCTCACGTTGTACCCATCTCTTCTTTACTTAGTGGTTTGCTTTTGCTGTGTTTCTGCCACTGACAGGGGGCAACAGTGTCTCTGAATGCCCACCCTTGCCCCATCTCACTGCTTTCCTCCTGCTCCATCTCCATTGTGCTTCAGGCTCAGTATGCTGGCCCAGCTCTCAGGGGGTTACAGGAAACTGCCCAGGGACAAAGCTGGCAGTGCAACCCTTCTGGGGCCAGGAGCTCTTCCTATGATGGGTCCCCCATCAGTGCTGGCTTGCCCTAGACTTGGAGAAAGCTGTGTACTTAGCAGTTCTTTCTACTTGTATCTACGAGTTATGTAGAAGTGCTCCTGTTCTTCTAGCCTCATGGTGACTTGTGTTGGGTTAAGCCACTAAATAATGTTAAGTCGGAATGCAAGAGATTCAGTACAATGGAAGGGCCCAGGGGTGCAAAAGCAGATCTGAGACACCCCATGAGGTTGCCAAGCAAAGTGGGAGCTTGGGCTGCTCTGGGCAGCTGCCTGCCCGTGCCCCAGTCCAGGTGCCATGGGCTATTTCTGACCCACCGGGCTTGACAGAGTTCAGCCAGGGCTGAGAAGGGGAGAAGTCTCTACATGCCCAGCGATGTTGCACTTCCCCGTGTTTCATCCAGCATCTGTTGAGCTGTCCCCAAATAAATCTTCCCCATGATGCTTCCAAAGTCCCGCTCTAACAGCTGAACTCCCAACACCAGCTCTGGAGATAGGGCCCCAGTAAAGGTTGCCTTTGTCTGATAGGGCTCTCCCTGCTCCTCCCCATGAGTGGTCCTGGGATCTTGCCCGTGCTCCTGGGGTCCTGACTACGCTCCTGGGGTCCTGCCCGTGCTCCTGCTCACGTTCTTGCCCATCTGCTGCTCAGGGTCAGGATGGGGCCGCACAGCTGGTCAGACTGGCACCAACTGCAGTGTCTGACTTTCAAGCTCCACGCTAGAAATGAGCAAAAGGGGAGAGGGTAGGATGCAACTGATTTTGTGGCAGTATGACCACGTCTGTAGAGGCCCAGAGGCAGTAAAATTCCCATCTGCTCATGTGAGGGGATGTGTGGCAGAGCAGGTAACTAATGCACTGCAGCAGCCAGAGGATTGAACATGATCTCTGGGCTGCTCTCACGCAAACCTACCCCTTCCCCACACCCTATGCTGCTTTTTGCCATCCATGCAGCCAGCCCCACTCATGCCTGAGGTGCTGAGCATCCTCCAGGTGAGCATGGATCCGTCTTCAATGCTCTTCAAGCCACAGGCAAACACAGTCAGTCATGTCCGTGTGCTTTTCCCAGGCAGTGAATTATGAAAGCAAAGCAGATCTCCGGACCCAATAATTACATCTACCAAAAGGTGATGTTGGTATTTTATCCTCATCATTTGCTGCTTCAGAATGAATTGCAGTCACTGAAGTCATTAACAAGTCGAATGGGACTTGTGTAGCAGCTCAGTTTAAATAGGCTGTAAATAACTGTTCTGCTTACAGAGCTTTCCAAAGGGAATGATGAAGCACTGCTTGCTTAGGACAAGGCCTAAATCACATAGTAAACACCAGCCTTGTTTATGCAATTATTCTCTGCCAGTCATGTGCTTTTTAGCATCTTTAACAAGCTTATGCAGAGCGTGATGTCTGTTTGCCCAGGAGGCACAGATGTGAGTGACGTTTTTACCTGGCTGTTGCCTTGCCATGCCAAGGAGGGGAATGACTGCTCCACAGAGCCCCAGCCACCTGCCTCCATTTACAAGGGCATAATGCCTGGTCTTCTGCACCAAACTCATCTTTAAATCAAACCCTCCAAATACAAAAGCAAACTGCCCTCCTCTGTGAGACACTCACACCTGGCGGCATGCTGCCAGGAGCAGCAGGAGGGAGCTCAGCCCCTGGGCACAGGCATGTCTTGCCCTCATGCCTTCCTGCCCCATGGGGGTCTCCAGATCCCCTGTCTGATGCCAGTGCTCTCCCATCTCCTCCTTATCCCTGCCAGCCTTCCCACCCTCATTCGCAAGGGAAAAGCAGTGAGCATCTCTGATAAAACCCCAGGCTCAGAGAGGTTGCCAGAAATTCAGCCTCCGTTCATCCACCTGCCCCGGCTGCTCTTACTCATTCTCATCACTTCACTAAAGCCAAAGGCAAACCTTTCCATGGAAAAGGATGCAGCACAGTGCAAAGGACATTCAGAGACAGCCATCCAAATAACACAACAGGCCACTGCAAAGTGCTTGGGGACAAATGGAAGGAGCACATGGAGCAGTGACAGCCCTAAGCATTTTAGCAAAACCATATCCCCAGCTCTTCAGGGGCCAACAGGAGTGGAGGCAAATTCCAGCCACAAGTTGAACACACAGAAAAAGGTGCAAAAGAGCCAAAGACTCTGCATGTCCTTGGTGCCAGCAGGAGTAGCAAACCTGCAGCATCTCAGGACTGAGCCCACCCAAACTGCTACCACCCGCCTGCACCAGGGAACCGCTCACTCCAGAGATGGGAATCTGTCCTCTCCAAATAATGCACCTGCCCATGTGCCACCCATTTCCAGGTAGTCTGTGGTGGCTCTGGAGAGACTGCAAGAGTCATTTGTGCATCTTTCTCCCCTCTTTTATCACTTCTTAAAGGACAAAAGAAAAAAGGTAGGCTTTGAGCCTTTTCTGGTCACAAGTCTGGATGCAGTCTGTTAACTCTCCGTGTTATTTCTGCTACAGGCAGGGAACAAAGAACCAGAGCCTGTGTGTTATTGTAACAGCTATTTTTAAATGCTTGGGTAGGAATCAAGTGCAATGGTATTGGGGGCCATATACGTACCTAAGGAGGAGGCTCAGCTGCATTCCCGAAGGGGCAGAGCTGGGCATAGCCAGAACATGACAGAGAGAAAAAGAGGAAAAACTTAATGTCTGAGGGTATTATTCCAGGAGAAACTCCTGCATTATTTTTCTGTAGGCTTTGACACCCAGGACCATCTGGGGAAGCATATTTGCAGAGCATCAGGAACCTCTCTGGCCTCTCTGAGCATGCAGTGACCAACCACACACACACATACACATGCCCAGCACAGCTGCAGAAAAGCCTGTTTATCTTGTAAAAAAATGACTTGCCCAGGAGAGCATCCAGAAGGATCTGTATTCTTGCAAAAAGCACCAAGGGACAATAAATAAAGTGAGATTCCTCACCTTTGAAGGACTTGAGCCTTTCTCCTTTTTGAACTAGAGCTGCCGAGAACCTCTTGCCAGCCAGCCACACCCCTCATGCAGGGGGAAGGTACGATGTAAATGAAAGGGGCCCACATGGACATGCAGGAGCTGTTGTCATCAAAGATAGCCGGAAGATTGCTGTTACTAGCAGGATTTGCTGTCTACAGCACATCCCTGAGAGCATCCAAGGGGTCTCTGAAGAGTCTTGCTGTCTCTCAGAAGCATCTCAAGAATGGCCAGCCCTGCCTCTGAGCACCCAGTGCCCTCATGGTGGCTCATCACTCTGTCCTGCAGGTCCTGCATCCTCCCTTGGCTCCTTCCCACCCTCACAGTGAACACCAGCTTGGGGGTCCCCTCTCTAGAAGTATGAAAGAGGGAACTGGGGTGCACACAGTTCCCTAAGTGGGTGCTCTAGAGTGTTGCTGGGTGGTGGAGCTGGGTGCTACTGGTGGGATGACAAGCATCAGGGGACACAGGGAAGGGAGAAGTGCCTTGGGGGCCCACAAAGATCTGGAAAACCTATTTTAGGCACTGGCACAGCATGTTCCCTTGCCCCAGCTGCCATGGCTATGGACAAGCATCTTGACTTCTGCACAGCTATAGCACAGCCTCTAGGTTTTTGGCTGTCTATGGGCATCAACCCCAAGTCAGTATTTTTATCTATTCAAAACAGCCCTTGTTCTGTTGTACTGCACTGTGACAGCTCTCCACCCCTCCCAGCACTCACAACCTACCCCCAAGTGTGCAGTTCCAGGTAGTGGTGGGAAGGAGCATTAGCAATGCACCAGGAGCATACCCTACCTGACTTAGTGGTCCTCCAGCATCCACCTTGAGCCATCTTGAGGCCCCAAAATGGCACATAGTGATAATCCAACTTGGGGCTTGCTCTGTGCTGGTCCCACTTGCAGATCCAATTTTGCATGCCCTCTTCCTTCAGGCTCCCTGCAGAGGAGCCTTCTCTGTCTCTCCTGCCCCACAATGGGGAGCTTCCCATGTGGAACAAGTCTCCTCTCTCACTGGACTGAACACCAGTGCTTGTTAGTTCAAGTTTGCTGTCTGTATCTCAGGGCAAAGATTAACCACTCCAAAAGATGGCTTAGACTTGAACCCCTGCAAGCAAAGAACCATACAAGTTTCCACACAGGAGAGACAAACTTCAGCATGCTGAGCCCTTCCTGATCATCACCCAGATCCTGTTACAGCCACTACCCACAGGCACTGTTTTTATTGTGCTGCTGTCCTTCACTCATGAGTTTTTGGAAGACTAAACATTTCTGCTGAATTTTGACTTGTTATCAAATCCCACAGACGCTCCATCTCCACCCCCCACCCCAGCTCAGCCTCTACACTTCCAGAGCAAAGTCCACTTCAACTCCTTTTTTTCAAAATGGAGCCTGTCCTTGGGGCTCTAAATATTCTAAAACTTACCTACCTGCCTAAAAAACTTTCCTGCCCCCGCTTAAAATGAGTAGAGTTTAAGTAAAGCAAGTTGCAGTGGCTTGGGATGCTTATCCACACTTAGGGCTAAAGCTATGCAGGACATGGAGGACTGCCACAAGGTTCTCTCCCTGCACCTCCTGACCTCTTCGTTGAGGTTGGATTTATTTCTCCTCCTTTTTATTCTAACTCAGAGGAGTTCCTCACAGATGACGGTGTGGAGTACAGCCTTGATCTGTTCTCTTGATGAAAATTGGCATGGCAGTCCATGGCGCTGTCATCACCAGGAGTGTGTGCCACTCTGACCCAGCCCACAGCCCCTGGCAGGCTCCTCACTTACAGAAAAGTGAGTTTCTGGCAGGTGAGCTTCTTTGCAGAGATATTTAGAAATGTGGAGAGTTGCTGAGTACTGTAAAATTGCTGCACTAGCACAGGATAGATTGGATCCTGGTGGTGCAAATATGTCCCAGCTTGCTATCAGGCTTGTTTGGGAGCATTAATGAAAGTTTTTGCAAACTACTGGCTTTGTGACTCCCAATGATGTAGGGAGGTGCACAGATTTCTTCTTACTCAATGTAATGCTGAGATGGCTCCCTTGCTTTAAGCTATAGTCCTGTGCATTTCCCTGGTCTTGCCTTTCAGTAAGAGCTGTGATGAGATGCCCCTTGGCTGAACTCCCCCTATACATATGAAAACAAACTGATGCCTATTGTGTCTTCAATTTTTGCCCCATGTTGCTTTCTTCATCTTCCAAGCTCTTGAGAAAATGTGCTCACGCAGCAAGTCATGCAGGAGACATGTACCACTTCTAGGAACTCTAGAGAGTAAAAGATTGCAGTAATACCTTTTACAGTATAGTTGCTACGTTAGCAAGAAAGAAAATGCTATTTATTTTTTCCCTGACGAAACTTAACTAGCAACAACACTTGTTCAACTTCTTTTTTCTGTAATGCTTTAAGCATTAGGAGGCACAGCTCTGCAAATAATGGAGTTTTCAAGACTACCTGTTGAGGACATTGTTCAGCAATCCAGCAGAACAATTTTATTTGTGGATGGAGGGGAGAAGTTGGTGAATTGTCACAAGTTTCCTAGCTCCTGCTGAAAGAAACACATACATGCTGGTAAAAGCCGCAAAATGCTGAGTTGAGTACAATGCAGCCCTCTGTATCCCAGATCTCTGTGCCAAAGAGATACGGCATGAGGTTGTAAAATCAAAACTATGACTTCCTGAAGACTACTCAGCAGTGATGGACATCTTTATACCTACCACTGTCCCTAGAATATAGAGAGAGGTCTCTGGTACACCTGGTGTTCACCAGGTGTGAATGTCACCATTAAACGAGCAAGGAAGGCTATGGAGAACACCCCACACTATCTCTCCTCCACCCCAACAAACAAGCCCATGGGTTAGTCCCAGTGAGAAGCAGTCAGAGTGCCAGGGAGCAAAGCTGTCAGCAGGAAAGCTCACATGTCTCAAAGGCGATAGGTTCCCCACAGGACTTTGCTCTCCACATCACTGCCATGGCAGGCAGAGCCAAAGGAGAGGCCTAGGCTGTCTATGTTTGTTCATGTGACAATCAGCCCTGATTTCAGCCAGAGAGGCCTGCAGGGAGTGGCTGTGATACTCTGAAGGAGTGGGAAATGAGATGAGATTTAGTCAAAAAATGATGCAGGAGTAATTTAGATCTGTTAATAATTTTCCATGGTAATTAAGTGGTCCAGTTGTCTCAATGCTTGAGTGACCACTCTGGTCCTCAAAAGCTGTTTCCACACACTTGAAACACAGGGAAAGCAACTGCTCCTCTTTCTAGAGTAGAAAACAGGCTGTTGCTATGAGCTTGGATGGGACACAGAAACACATCTGTCTCGACAGTGATCTAATTCAAATCAGCAGCTGCTTCCACTGCCCCACTTGGGAGTGGAGGGACACGCAGGCAGGGAGGTGGCAGCTGCCTGTGCAGCCTGTCCCAGGGATGTTGGATGCTCTGCATGTGTGAGGCAGCCAGGACCCCCTATAATGGCAGGACACAGGAGAGAAAGAGTTCAAAGTGGTCCCAAAAAGGGAGGGGAACAGCTAGTGGCTGGATGCAGTAGGCCTGTTGTTCTGGGGCACAGGTAACATGCCTCACTGGCAGGTAACCAACCTCAGCACTGCCAAGGCAAGGTTGTCCTCTGGTGGTTTTGGTGTGTTGGAGCACATCAATGATATGCTCCAAAAATGATGGGTCAGCTTTCCTGCTCTTCTCTGACAGCAGCCACTGTGCCCTCACTCAGCAGCACAAGGGGAGCTCCCCATTGTCCCAGGAGCAGCACAGGGAGGACAGGCAGGGAGGAGGCGGCCACCACCTTTCCTAACCAGTCCAAAGCACTGGTCAGCTCAGCCACCCGTCATGGTCACCCCCCACGTCCTGTGTCACCCATCACCCTGTGCATCCTCCCCCTCAGAGCTGTAGGGCACTCTAAGGCAGACAAACTCCTTCTAGAAGAGAGAGAGAGAGAGAGAGAGAGATACCTGACGGCCTGACACACCACCCGGTCCCCACCAGGCAGGGAGACCCCAGCTGGGCAGAGCCAAATTTTTCCAAAACAGGGCTGAAAGGAAAATTTGCAGAACTGGCTTGCCTGGAGACAGAAACCAGAGCATGGGGCATAAATTCAACCCCACCTTCCCATGGCCACCTGCACCACACCTAGCACCATAAGTCAGCACTGCCTCAGCAAAGTGAAGCCCCTGCAATGGTGGGTTACAGCTGAGGGTCACCCCTGGGCACAGCAGCTGAAGCCTCCCAATCTCTCTCTCTCTCTCATGGTTCCTAAGTTTAATGGCAAAATGCAGCTACACTATTTGAAAAGCCATAATATTTGTTGGTATAACTCTTTTATTACTGTCGATTTATATATATTTGTTGATAAAAGAGGTCATCTTGGGAGACACTTGTAGTCTACTGGGAAATAATTATCCTATGCTGTATATTCTGTACATGCTGTATAAACAAAGCAAAATAGTTAAATCTAAATGTTCGGTGGACTTGGTGGCATGTGCTGGAGAGGGAAATTGCAACCAGACAAGCTCCCTCCTGGGGCCACCATGGCTCAGGCTTGGGGTCCCTGGCAGAGTCACCAGCCTGCTGGGGTCCTGGTCAAAGCCCGGGGCAGGATCTGGCCACAGTGCAAGGGCAAAGCCTGCGGCTCCCTGGATGCTTTTCCCCATGCAAAACTGAAAGAAGACAACTGCAAATGAAAACGGCTGCCCTTGATCTCCCTCCTGAGTAAAGCACAGGACCAGGTACACCCTTGTTTGTAGAAACTCTCAGCACAGCAAGTCCAGTGTCGTGCACCCATTTCCCTCCTCTCCTGTCCAGGGTGGAAACCCTTCGACCACCACCCAGCACGACATCTCTAAGCCTTATGGTCAGAGAGAGACGATTCCCCATGGGGGATGTCCAGCGGCGGCAGAGACTGTCTCTGAGCATCCAGCTCCTCCGGCTCATTTCCATGTTGCCCTCCCCAGCGTGTTTTATGACAGTGATGAGCTGTGACCTTCTAACCTGACACCTGACCTGTTAGAAAACCTGTTTCATATTTTCTGTGGTATCAATCTACAACTTTTGAAATCATTGGAGACAGTTGTGGTAGCCTAAAAATTGTGCTGAGCTCATATATTTTTATATTTGTGGTGTTTTCATATTAATAGAGAATAGTGAACCAGTAACCCTATAGCTGAAAGTGAACTATTCAAATAAATAGACAACTGCAGAAAATATTTGAAAAAATAATTTATTTGAAATATTCTGCCAAAGATAGCTCTTTAATGATCTGTAAAATGTTGTTTCTCTCTTTTTTGCTCTGAATGTCATTGTGAAAGCACCTTTCTTCCCACTATCTTTTGAAGATTTGCTTTTTTGTATCTTGTAAGGGCAAAGTTTTTTTTTTTTTTTTTTTTTTTTTTACCAGAGCAGTAAATAAAGCAGTAAGGAGGCACGAGACAACTTTATAAAGGTGATAAATGGGATCCAGTAACAATTACTCTGAAAATCAGGTTTCTCTCATGGACAGATGGGTTTCAAAGCCCAGGACCGTTCTCTATCAGGAAGGCCTCAGCTGCAGCTGCCTTTGCAGCTGTGTAGCTTACCTGAAGGAGTGAAATCTCTCAACTGTCCATTTGCAGGCTCAGGGCATTTGGACACCCTCGGGGGTAACTTCTGCCTCTTCTTCATGAGCATGATACCTTTATTAGTTCTTAACCAGCCCTGTGGCACATGGGTGAACCTTGCTCAGGGCTTTGCAGTGCTTCAGCCTGATGAGGTCTGGACCCCTCCAAAGCCATACCCAACACTAGCAGCAGATATAATCCCGCTGACACCTGGATCTGTCCCCTTCCCCACATGGGGACAGGGGTGGGGGAGATCCGGCAACTGTGGGACATAATACCTTAGCAAGGGGATCCATCCTTGCAGATATGTGTTAAAAAGGGGGATGTACGGCCCTTTACTAGTGAGAAGCTGCCCAGATCAGTCTGTTCAGAAATTACAAGATTTCTTTTAAGATGTAAGAATCTTATTTCCCTTACTCATTTCTTCCTCTTGAAAACACTTTCCAATGCTAGGAAAAACCTTCATTATCTTCGGTGATTCCCAAGACTGTTGCAGTAGAAATACATCCTCAGCCACATCCGTTAGGCTCCACCATATCAGAGATATTTTTGGCTCATTTTTTTTTGCTTCTAAGCACATTTGCAGTTTCTTAAATTTTTTTGGTCATAAAGGCCTGGAGGAATTAATTGGTAATAAAGAAACGTGGGCCCTGTTCCAGTGAATGGGTTTCCGCATGCATTCAACTTCTGACTCACCAAAGGTCAGGCACGTGTGCCAGTGCTTTATCAGGCAGGCACCCAGAAACTGAGACATGACATGCAGTTTCTAAGCCACGGGGTGTGACAGGAGCACTGCCAGCCCCCAGGTGCGGGTGTCAGCGTGGTAAAGCACATGGCACAGTCTGTAGCTGTGGGAACCATGGGCCAGGGAATTTTTGTTCCTCTGTGCAATAAGGTCTCTGAATCTGGGGTTACACAGCTGCTGCATTGCAGGGAAATGCAAGTGAGCCAGGGAAGACAGTTGTGAGAAGAATTGGGTTTCTGATCACTGTGCATTTTGTTAATTAGTAAATTAAAATAGTTTTATTTTTACCAAAAATAATCTTTATTCCAGTAAAGACAACTGTTGACTTTATATATATATATATATATATATGTGTGTGTGTGTGTGTATATATATATATATATATATCTATCTTATTTGAATGGTTTATATCCTGTTGCTCTAACTACATAAAATGGAAACATGTTGCAAGTTGTATCATTCCAATGTACAAAATAAATGACTTCTCCCTGCATGCTGCCTGGGTATGTTGTGATTTGAATTAAGAGTTATATCTGAATTGCCTTATTCAAGAGGTTGTATGTTACCTAACTGGGGAATGACCTGGCAATGTTCATCACATTACATATGTACTTGATGCTGTGTTTTGTCAAATTCAGATGAGTTGTCTGTCATCTATGTACTTTGTGGGAGACCTTTTATCTTGTTAAAATGTGATATGTAAACCTCTCATTGCCTGAAATAGTTGTATAAATCAGTGTCTTCAGCTGTTTTCCTAATTTTATCACATTTCCTAACACAAAATATAGATGTTTATAAATTCTTCATTCATTTTGTCTATTTTTATGTGAGAGGTTTTTTTAATCTGGCAAAGGAGTACGATAAGGCAGCTTCCCCTGAATTTTTCAATCAAGGCTCAGTTGCATTTCTATCCCTCAGCAAGATGCAACAACCAATTTTCAGCAGCTACAATTGGAATTAGGGACATATGTTTATTGCTATTATCTCTTCTAGCTCAGATGGGCTATTATCACTGCAGAACACAATCACTAATGACAAGCCACATGTGATGCTTCTTTAGTGGCAGCCCTCTGGGCACCAGGCACTTTGTAGCAGCTTCTTCAGGCCCCAAACCTCTGCCATGCCACAGGTTGAGGGGGAATGGAGAGGGTAGAATCCCCTGCCAAAGCTAGTCAGCCTGGAGGAGAGAGGGGAGAGATGCTGCTTACTCATCCTGGCTCCAAGGCACTTATTCTCCACACACAAGGCACCCCAAGACTGCGCTATCAACCCTCCTGTGTGACATCCCAGCCATAAAATTACATCTGCTCTATTCATTAACCTTGTGGCTGCAGCACGTCTCTGAAGACAAACAACCTGTCCTGACACTGCATTGTGCAAAGTCCTCCCCCACTGGCTGCTCCTACAGCATTGGCCAAAGCCACATGTGTGTTTTTTTCTAGCTTTGGTTTCCAGCTGTGGGATCATGTTACTCCAGGGCTGCCTAACAGCAATGTGCTCCCCATCTAGACACCAGTATACCCCATACAGGTCAGATCCTTTGGAAAACAGGCCACAAAGTTGAAGGAAGTTGTACAAGGTAGGCACAAATCTGTTGTGGTGGCAGCACAGGGACAAGAGGTGATCCAATACCTCCCGCAGTGGGGTTCAGCAGCTCTGCTGAGTCATACATCTTGTCCCCCCCACGACACAACTGCTGTGTCTCTTAGCCGCAGCACCACACGGCCAAGAAATGAGTCTGTTTGAGGGACAGACCCCCAGCAGCCCATCTCCAGCTCTCAGATAACTGTATTTCCGGGCATTCTACCTCCATGCCTAAAATGCCAAATAAAACAGTTGTTGAGAGGAGAGCAATTAAAACACTATGGCCTGAGCCAGCCATGGTCCCTGCTCAGTTGTACAGTTGTCACATTATCCTAAACACAAGCAGCATAAATCTTTCAGACATACAAAACCACACTGAGCTGTCTCAATCATTATGTAAATGCCCCACTGTGCCCTCCCCACTCCTCCAGTTTTTGAGCATCTCTGCATAAATTTTTCTGTATATAACACTGGTCATTTTTTATGTCTAGTAACTATAGAAACACATGGTTAGGGAAGTAAATTCCTCGAGCAGAACAAGCCATAGTCCTGGGTTATTAATTCCTTTCACAGGGCTTTGAGTGCTAAAAAATTTCCTGTTCCATTCAGAAATGCACTTCACCTTTTTTTCTTTTCCTTTAGTTCTGGCAAGCTTCAGGTCTGAAGGATTCTGCTGACCAAAGGGAGATGCACCAGGAAGGGCTGGGATAGTGCAGGGAGGAGGTTGTCAAAGAGCCAGCTGTGTGCAGCACCCCAGAGAAGACCAAAAAGAGGAATGGTGAAACCAGTTTTGCTACAGGCACACGTTTTTCTGTTTGTTTAGTTTTTTCTTAAAGTGTGGGGTACAAATGCTAATTTTTGCTTATCCACCCAGGGGGTCTCAGCAAGACCCCAAAAGTGACGAGATCCCCAGGCAGGGGCTTGCACAGCCCCAGGTGTGCAAGGGGACACCCTCGGGGACGAGGATGGGGCTTGGCCGCAGTGAACCCGATCCAGTACGGCAGGAGCACTGCTCTAAGCCACGGCTGGGCGGGGGCCCCCCGGTTGCTGCCCTTGGCGCAGAGGGCCACCTTGGGGTGGGAGGCCAAAAAAAAGGCAGAAACAGGAAAAGTGAAATTCCAAATAAGTCTCAAAACGGGGGTGGGTGAGGAGAGGGATTAGAGCCGGGCTTGCCCCCGCCACGAGGACAACGGC